CGATATCCCTTCCCGCCTTTTCAAACCACCTCCTATGCCCCAGTACAGCTGCCGTCCTTTCCTCTCCATTCCATGCCTCAAACATGTCCCNTTTCTACTTTGCCAAAGGTGGCTCAAATATGTCTTCCCTAGTCTGTCTATTCTATCGATATCCCTTCCCGCCTTTTCAAACCACCTCCTATGCCCCAGTACAGCTACCGTCCTTTCCTCTCTATTCCATGCCTCAAACATCTCCCTGTACGTTCCATCTATTTTTCCCAGCTCAGTCACGTACACTTCCCTCTCCTTCTTGTACAACGGACATTCCGCGACTACATGAACACGGTCTTCGCATTCGAAGCCGCAATCACATTTGAACTCGTCGTCTTCCTCGTCTACCGTCCTATGTCTTCGTCGACGTTCTCGAAGGCCTATGTCCCCGGTCCTGAATTTGACCTTAAGCTTTGTTCCTGCATCCATTGGTCCATGTAGGTAGTCCTTGAACCCTATTCCTTCCTTCAACATTCCGTACACTTCTAGACCCTCCTTATCCTTGGATTCTTTCCTCAGATTCTGTTCTTCTCTCTCGGCACAAGCAACAGATATCTTCTCCTTGAACCCCTGTAGACCCTCCGTTTCCAGCGTTTCATCTTCGTCGATGTCGAGCCCCTTCCATACGTCCTCTACAACCTTGACCCATTCCGTGGGTTGTCTACCCCTCTTTTTGTTTGCCCACTTCGCCTCCCATACAATTCTCGGCAACCTCTCCTCTCCCATCCCGCACATGCGATACTGCCAGGTCAGCTTCCTCGCGTCTCTTCCCGACCGTAGGGATTGGATCCCCAATTCTGCCCTCACGGCTGCATTACTTGTGCGCCTGGAGCATCCTAGGATGGTTTTCGCTGCTTTCATCTGCGCCGCCTCGAGTTCTTTCACTACCTTCTTATTTCCTTCCCATACTTCTCCGGCGTACTCTAGCGGCGGTACGATTACGCTCTTCAAAACCGTCAATTTGATGCGTGTATCGAGGTGCCGGTTTGCGAGTATTGGGTGCAGCTTCCCTGCTCGTGCTTTGCCCTTTTCCGCTACCTTGGACATGTGTGCATTCCACGAGCAGTCTTTTGCGATCTCTACTCCGAGGTATGTGTACTGGTCCACTACTGCAATCTCCTCGATCCCCCACTTCCATCTATGTTCTACTGGTTCCTCCTTGTTCTCGTTGCAAACCATGACGGCACTCTTCTGAACGTTGGCAGACAATCTCCACTTATCAGTAAACTTCTTCGCCGCGTCAATTTGCAGTTGCAGTCCCTCAGGGGTGTCCGACATACCGACAAAATCATCCGCAAACAGCATTCCTGAAACCGACGTTTCCGTGTCCCCTACTTTTACTCCCTTCCGGACTGCCTCTACGACTTCCAACAGATCGTTGATGAACACCTGGAACAATGTTGGGGACAGCGTGCAACCTTGTGGGACCCCCTGCTCAATGTCGAAGAATTTTGACAGTTCTCCGTCTAGCATGACCGCGCTTTTCGTGCACTCTGTCATCTTCTTCAGCACTCTCCACATTTTCCCCTTGATCCCGTATTTGGACAGTTGTTTCCACAACCCATTTCTCCATACGGTGTCGTATGCCTTTTTCACGTCCAGGAAGAAGCAGTACGTCGGCTTTCCCGCCCTCTTTCTACCTTGGATGATTCTCCCTACCGTGAACACGTGGTCTACGCACCCCCTCTTCTTGCGGAAACCTGCCTGGCCCTCACTAATGCTATGTTCCTTCTCCAATACTCCCACTATCCTATCGTTCAGCAGCTTACAGAACACTTTTCCTACTGTGTTCAACAGTGTGATCCCCCTGTAGTTTCCTGGGTCAGTCTTGTCTCCTTTCTTAAACAAGTTCACAACTACTCCTTCCCTCCATCTACTTGGCGTATACTCGTTTTTCCACACCCGCTTGTATTGCAGTACCATCATCTGGATCATCCCCTTCCCCCCAAACTTCATGAACTCGTTGACTATCCCATCCGCTCCTGCTGCTTTGTGGCACTTCAGCTTGTTCACACACGCCTCAACCTCGTCCTCAGTGAACTCCTTTTCTAGTTCTACGTTCCCAACGTCTGCCTTCGATGTCTCTTCTTCTTTTTGGGCCCATGCGTCCACCTCCTTCTTAAACACTTGGTCAAGAGCATCATTCTCCGAGGACACTCCGAGTCTGTTGTAATGTCCTGCTAGAAGTTCCCTCTTTCCCTTCCCACTGCTGACTAATCCATCGTTCACACCTCGCAAAGTTGC